GAACATTTTCTTCACACCGAAACAATCATTTCTGCTATGTATGCGATATGATGTTGTTTCATTGAAAGATGAAATCATCTCTTAACAGTAATGTATCGCCACATTGTGAATATGTTCAGACATAGAAGATAATATTCTAATTATAAAAATCTTACGAGGAAACCATTCAAACTGACCTCGGGTGTGGGTGTACGCGTGCGGATCTACTCTATATTGAAATCCTTATCCCCACCCACACCCTCTTATACGATCTTATAAGATCTCATCTGCCGACCTCAAAGCCACCCAAGTCGAAAAATTAGATGTAAGATCTTCAAGTCTGATCTCTGATATTGTATGATCTTATAATATCCGACGAAATCGTACACAAAAATCGTGGTGTCCGCACAACTTACATCAAATCTTAGCATACGATTCTTCCAAGTTCATAGCATCTGTACGATCTTAGAAGAATCGTATGCTAAGACTTGATGTAAGTTGTGCGGACAACACGATTTTTTGTACGATTTTCCTCTGACATTATAATTTCAGATGCAATCAGACTTTAAGTCTTGTAAGATCTTACCATCGGATTGTTTGCTCTGGGTACCATTTCTGATAAAATCGTACTGTACGATTCTTGTATGATCTTGTTGTAAGATTCATGTAAAATTTTACAGAATCTTCTAATGTAGTTTACAGTTAAATTTCTTGCTCTTCATGCCTCTCCTCTCGCATACACAATTAAACACTCGAAATCTTTTTTTATTTGAGCAAACATTTTCCACGATTGTTTCGCTTTACTTTTAGTATACAGTGTGATTTTATCTAAATGAAAAAATGATTTATTTTAAAACGAATACACATATTTCAATATTTACGTTCGATTCGCTTTAAATAAAAAATAGTTCTATGAAAATAAATAAATACTTATATTTTGCGATATTATTTTGTTTTGTCTAAATAAAAATAAATTATCTATTTTAAAATAAATACTTACTGTTTAATCTTTTATTTGATGTATATCTAAATAAGATACATTAAATTAGTCATTGAAAAAAATGCTTAACATTGCGTTCGTTGCTGAATTCAAAATGAAGGAACCTATGACCTCGATCAGTACAATTCACCTCACTTTTTAAACTTATGACCAGGGTCGATCGTATGCTCTTTTCGTGCAGACTGTCATTCACATTCATCGTACATGTTCTCCATGTTCGAGCGTATAGGATCGTATACGTTCATGGTATGCGATAGTCAAAGACAAAGGTGTTTTTTTACGTTTTGTGTCGTATATGGACGAAATGAAACGTAATGGTCATAAAATCGTTATTCTTACCCTTCATCAAATTGTTGAATGTAATCGAGAGAGAAAAACAATTTTTCGATTAAATTCATACGTACCGATTGACGATGTTTTTGAGATTCATCTAAATAAAAAATTAGTTATTTATTTATTTAAATGATATTTACTCTTTATCATGTTGTTAATTTTGTTCTACATTAATATGCAACCACCTAAACATTTATTTAAATACAAAAAACAATCGCTATAAAAACTGTTCGTAAAAGAGAAGATAAGATTATAAATATTATAATCAAATTAGATCATATACGATCTTACAAGATTTCAACCATTAAACTTTTTAAGAATCTTATATTAAGAATCATGTAAGATTCACTTTAGCATCTTAGTGTTAGAAACGTGATAAATCTTACAGTATCCGATTGTCAGTAAGATCTTATACGATCTTCGTAAGACTTTTTCCATCGGGGCTGTTCTTGATAGATTTTCTCTCTTCTCACATATTTATACTAAACATTTATTTGATTTAATGAAGTGAATATAAAAATATAGAAAAAAAAATATCGAGCATAAATTGGTCTTGAATTCAAAGCACAAAATAGTTTAACTAGATTTTATTGATCACCTTGTGTAGACAAATCTCGACGCATAAAAGGATTTTACAAGAAAATTATTTCACTCTGGAATAAATAACCATTGTCATTGTATTTCTGTTGAATGGATTTCTTACATCTTTTGTCTCATTTCATGCATACTCTGATCAATATGCATGCATCATTCACTCATGTGTAAATAGTCAATCTACTTCTCCATTTGAATTATATAGGTGGTTGTAAATTTTTTATTTTATACGTATAAAAATACTATTGCGTAATAATTTTTGTATGTAGTATACTTGAATATGCACAGTATCTGATTAAATAGCAATTTATCTTTCTCTACCAACTAGTAAGTTCAGCATGAGCGATGGGTGTTTTATCTAACAAGCTATTTTTTAGAAGGTTGTTTCATATATAGATACGAATATCTCAATCACATATGACTTGCAACAATGCATTTTTGATTCTTACGTAAAGGTCGATTTGTAATGGAGATATTAGAAGAGAACAGTTTGATGATCATATAAATACGCATTAATGCGTTGTCTCAAATGCACATTCTCCTTTTTTTTCATATTTATTTCTATTCTCTATAAGATACAAGTATTAACAATGTTTGGTGGATATCAACAATTTGGTAAGAGCTATATAAACGTTTATATAAAACTTACCTATTAAATAATAAATTTCAGGAAATCAAGCCGGTTTCGGAAGTTATGGTGGAAGTCTCGGTGGTTCAGGAGCTTCTGCTTGGGGCTTCGGAGTTCCAAGTTACAGTAATTTCAATAGTCCAAACTACTTTAGTGTTGCTACTCCACGTTATGATGGTTCTGCTGCTACAGGCTATGGTGGCCTTGATGCTTTTGGAGGTTATGGACGTGTCTTCAGCTCACCATATGGATATGGTTCTCGTTGAGTAGATGTAGGAGATCGTTGGTCTCTAATGTGATGAGTTTTAAAGAAATGTACTAATTACAAAACCTGTTATTATAGCATTTTTATTAAGAATCTTCTACAACTTTAATAATTACAATAATAAATTTCTTGCATTAAAATTTGAAATTCTTCTTATGATTTATTTAAAGGTCGATATATAAAAGCCTTTCTATATT